TTTGTTTTTTTTTTTTAATCTAAGAAAATTGCTTTAGGGAAGAAAAGAGAAACGTTTGCTTATGTCACATTTTCGATGAGGATTGAATTCAACGGAAGAGCCACTTCAGGCCTCCCATTTACTGATATTAATGCGCAGTTGAGGAGGGGCTTAAATTCTGTGACCAGGGTTGATTTCCCGGCCCAGCCCCAGCTTCTGGGTGCCACCTGTCCCTCCGTGGATTCTCTAACAAGAAGGAAGCTCGGGCCCCAGGGCCTTTACGAGGCTGCCCCGTGAACTTGGGACAGTGTGGAGAGTCACACAATCAAATCTCCACCCTGAGTGGATACTGCTTGAAATCTTAGGCGATTTTGAAAACTGAGACTTTTTTTTTTTAAGGTAGAATGCCTTTGACATCTTTAAATCTGTTTGTCTAGCTTGAGTTCTTTTTTTTTTTTCCTTACCAAACGCCTGAGTTCTATAAAGAATACGTGGCTCAAGTATTGTAATCGTAGGTTTGCCAAACTTTCCTCCTTAATTTAAGCCACGTGTTCCTCTTGAGAAGAAAAAGAGAAGCCAAGAGCCTCCTGTGTGGATTCTGTATGTTTGGGAGTCTCGCTTTTCCCTGTTTGTCTCATGTTAACCCCCCCCTTGCATACTCTGGATGCCCCCAACCTCCCCCCCCCACACACACTCACACACAATCACAAAGATGGCACAACACTTTGACAAATTTCGCTTATTCTATTATTTATATTTCAGAATTTGCCAACTCTTTTGGAAGACCACTCAAATGACCGTGAGTCAAAAGCAGCCTTCTCAGTTTTAATCCTTCCAAAAACGCACAACAACCTTGCAGTAAATCGTAAACCATCATAAAATGGGACATTTGTAAAATCCTAGAGAAACACCATTCTGGATCTTTGGCCCACAGATAAGAAAAAGGATGCCAGCAATGTGCTAGAGCGTTTGCGGGGTCCCTTCTTCATAGTGTGATTTTCAGTAGATCTCCTCTTTTCCCCGGTAGATCTGAGGTTGTTGTTGAAAACATTTCACCCCCGGGCTCCGTGCTGTTTCTGAATATTGTTGTGCCTTTTTATACCTAGTCCAGACAAAGACCAACTCCAAGCCTGTTCAGAAAATCCCCTCGATCCTACGTTGCTGTTGTCTAGACACAAAACAAAAGTGCATTTAATTCAGACTTTGTTTCACGGTGGAAATCTTTTCGTAAAAGCCACAATCCAGCATCTGTAAGTTGGAAATAAATCTCTACGTGCCCCAATTGCTGGTCTTTCTCAACACAGATAAGTCCACTTATTTCCCCGAATAGAGCAGCCCGAGTACCTGGAGTCAGGAAGAAGCGTGCTGTGTGGTCGTTTTATGGAAGAGAGCAGAAACACATGTGTCCCTCACAGGCCAGCGGTGACAAGTGTGGGTAAATGTCCCTTTGGTGGCTGACAGGCCAGGGATGCTGGACACAGATCGGCGAGGTCAAACCGCTCAAAAGCAGGTGTCCCTGTAATAAGCTTACCCTACAAATGTCCTTGTCAGAATTCCACTCGGCTGATGCTGTCATCTCAGGATGCGCGCAGTGGAAGTAGAGTTCAAACGGTTTTGAATAGAATAAGCAGCCAACTGTCTGATCTTGAAAAGAGAAACCCAGAGCTTAGATATTTGATGCAAATATACTTAGCTACAACACGCTTAACTTTATTGTCTTAGTTATGTCATAGGCATCAACCTTTATATTTAGAAAGTCCTTTAACTGATTCTGTAATTTAATAATTGGTCTCTTTTGTAAATATTAGCATCAGTCATGTTTACCCATTTTGCAAACTTTTAGTAACCCTTTCCTTGATTTTTAACTCATCAACATCAAGACAATGTTGTTAAGCCAAGTGACCGCTTCGAAACTGATGAATTAGCTGTTGACAGCTCAACTATGTTGTACCAGACTGCTATAACTTGATACGTATTTCTGTTGAATGAAGTTTTTGTAAAAAGAAAAAAAAAAAGATATTATTTACAATGTTATTTGAATGATTTCTTGTAAATGCTGTGAATCTATATTTGTTGTTTTGTATCTGTATATTAAAGTTAATTTGCCAAACTGGTTCCAGTAATGCATTTGAGTAGTAAAATAAGACTGTGTG